TCCTGTCCTGCCTGTTTTTTTCAAATTTCATCCTAGACCCCCATAAAAATCAAATGGTAGCTCCCTTATTTAACATCCCCATTTCGAATGAAAATAAATATTTTTTTAGATTAATGCTTCAATGATGAAACGGGAATAAAATGTATTGAAATATCGTATGGCAGTACAAGTATATCGGGTAACATTTGTGTACTTTTACAAAAAAAATTCTTCACTGAGAATTCAATCGCGGCATTTGAGTCCTAAAGAAATTTTCCAGTTCTCTAAAATAAAGCGTGTATTGTGTATATTAGTATTTCGCGTAATCAAGTATAACAGTTACCTTTTCTATGATTATTTATTAGGAATGCGATTATTATATGAGATATTCTGATTGAAAGATGTATGAAAAAAACTGACGTTTAACAAATTTCTCGAAAGTACTAGTATGCAACATTTTACATGAAAATGACGAACTAGATAATTAGTAAACACGTTAAATAAGTTGGTATTACAGTACTAACAAGCTTATGATCCTGTATCATTTTTTGACATCCGTTTTAAGTATACAAATAATGCATTTAATTCAGTTTGCTTCATGACCTTCATTCCCGCCAAAATCGTCCTTTTGGCGCCGTCTTATGACATAGTCAGTGCTCCTCAGGATTGTGACGTTACTATGGACCTTTGACGTTCTACACAATCAACAAGATTTGTGTGTAGAAGCCATAAATGTCCCTTTGGCAGCAAGAGGGTTAATATTGAACATAGTATTACAATTGCCTACGTTTATGTGATTGGATTTCATGACGTCATTCATTGTTTACAAACGTTATTTTTGCACTCGCACTGACATTTCAACAAATCAACAGTTCAAACTTCTTCTGGACAAAAGGTATGGTATATATTGAAGACATTGAATATTTTAAAACTGAGAAAATTGTCGCATGGCTAATTTAAAACACATATCCTAAGTAGGAAAATACGCGTTACACATTATCGGATCTAGGGGGGTCCGGGGGTTGGAACCCCCCTTTTATTGGACGATCAATGAATACACCTTATCGCTAATCCCGCTTGACCCGAGAATCAGTCCCGCTCGAACTTTTGACGTCATACAACAATCACTTTTCCATTGTGGCGTCAGATATTTTCTATTATGACGTCAAAATTTTACGGGAACTTGTGTGATGTCCAGTAATGGCGGACAAATAGCGATAAGGTGTAAAGTTTGAATGGGGACATATAGTTGGACTAGGGTTGTTTTGAATATTCATATTATTACTACTTGACCAAACGTTATGATATTTGAGAATTATAAATCCTGAATGTTTCTGAACATATGATAAGGAAAAGGGGGTGGGCATCGGCGGATCCAGGGGGAGGGGTCCGAGGGTTTGAACCCCCTTTTTTTTGGCGATTAATGCATTTGAAAGGGAAAATAAATTTGGGAACCCTATCTCCTGATTTTGATCCCCTTTTTAAAAATTGCTGGATCCGACCGATACATGCTCATTTCCTCAAATCCTGTGTTTTTGTCACACAGTATTTTTTTCCGATCTTTTCCCACTTCCCACTTCTTTCTCTTCTGTCCCGATCCCACTTGTTCCTATTTTGACCGTTTTTTTTTACTGATGCTTCATTTATTTGTGATACATTTTGATAGTAGTCCACCATTGTCCCAGGTGCCAACAAACTTATATAATCCCGCCACATTGACTGCTATATATTGTTTATTATTTTTCTTGTTTGAAATGTTTACAATAACATTTTAGTTACTTTTGGATTTTTTTATTCAGCCATGCTGGATCTATGCGATCACTCTGGTTTTGAAGATGGTGCAAAATACTAAGTTGAAGACATATCATGAAACTAATTATGTGTTTTTATGACTTGCAGAAACTTTCTACACCATTTTAATCATCAACTGCAAACTTTTGACATGTTATAATTATTATAAAGAGCACATAAATAGACTGATGGTTAAAGCTACATTTGCATGAAATATTTGTCACTGGCAAACACCAATACTTCGAGGTTGATGGATTTAATTATCATATTTTGCTTTTTTTATTTAGGAATAAATTCTCAGAATGATTAACAGCATAGAAGACAGCCGTTGAAATGGGAACGTACGATGTGAAAATTAAAGACCTATATACAGAAGGATGTATTTTAATATGGCATTCATCAGAAAAGACAATATTTAATCATAAACCATGTAATTCCGAGTTTCGTACAAGTACCAAAACATAAAAGATGGATGCTTGTAATGAGCTCATATTAGAACTAGGGAGTCCGCTGGAATTACCAATCTACATGTAGCAAGACACATCATATGTGAGACTGAATTGAGGAAAAGACACCAGCCAGGAAACTGACATTTTATAAAGCATTCCAAAGAAAAGATGGCAAAGGGGGAGAGCAATAAAACATGATACAAGCAAAATTAAGTGTTTCTTTGATTGTTTTATTTATGAACCTTAATTACAAGGGTCATAAAATAATCAAGGGGTTATATAGTACAATTGTATCCTAAGTTTCTGCTGAATTTAACTATATTTTGTACTTAATATATATCAACAGAAATATTCTTTAAATAATTTGAAATGTGCGAATCTTATTCCACCGTTATATAAAAAAAATGTAGTGGTGCTTGCAGGCAATATTTTATGAAAAATTGTTTTTAAATTCACCAAAAACTTGCTACATAGCAAGAATACGCCATGTTTGCCAGCTTTTACATAAATAAAAAAAAACTTAAATGTCACTGGTACATCCATATGAAATAAAGTCTGCTGCTGCCAAAAATCAAGATTACAAACTATGTTTCTAAAAGTAGATTACAACAATACTGAACTCTGAAAAATTTTAAAAAGCGGGGAAATTTCATAAACATCTGGCAAAACCAAACGCTAAAGCACACAAAAATAGCAGAACGAATGGAAAACAACCGTCATATTCTTAACTTGGTAAAGGCATTATCTTAATTTTCTCATAATAATCCTCCCAGTATTTCAAGTATTCTTACTCTGAAAGGAAAATATGAAAGAAAAATCATTTGCAACTTTACAAATTATCGGCATGAAAATGATTGACATTTTTGTCACAGACTTCATATGTTTATTTGACAATAAAGATTATTATATTAAAACAATTGTTATGATAAATAAAAGAAATAGTTATGATAAAAAAAAAAAAGGAGATGAGACATTGTTTTATGTTAATTACAATACATTGCCTAACATATTAACATATGGAATCATTAATGTCAACATGTTTTAAGCAATAGCAAAATACCAAAAATGAACAGTATTGAAGATTCTTATCTTGTTAGATATTTGTATAAATTGTGCGGTTTTATACACATTGATATTGTAAAATATCAGCCTCGAACCACAATGTAAATCTCTCTGGTGTCGATTGCGTATTTTTTTTTAAACACAGAAAGACAGTCGCAATCAAAATCAAGGAGTAAACAAAGACTCATAAAACCAAAGTGCATTTACAACAACAGTTAAAATACATAAAAAGAAACAATACCAACTCGACTAAAAACCGGGAATGAATTCATGTGCTTCTAAAGGGTAAACACTTCCCTTGAGAAAATCTGATAAACTGCTTATCTTGCTTCATTTTTGTTGTTTTTCCCTTCACTTCAATAGTTTTTTGATAGACGAAAGTAAGCTTGATACTTTTCCTCACTCATTTTCACGTCGCTAAAAATTCCTGCTCAGCAGAGTGATATAGTCGAAGAGAAAAACCATAAGTTTTAATATGTAACCAGCTAAACAAGGATTATAATAATATAGTCACAGAATTATCCAACCTATTTTTGGATACCAATTGTACTCAGATGCACATGTGTCAAAACTTCTCTAATGATAGAGGTCAACACTGAATCAGCGATGTCTACACAAGATACAAAATATAAAAAAAAAAATAAAAAAGAGTCATCAACATGTCACAATATACCATACTATACTTACTTAGTTTATAAGTTTTCAGTTCCCAATATTGTTTGAAACAATATGCATTCAGATTAAAAAGATAAACCACACCAAATCGACTGCTACAGCTATACCTAAAGAAACAACTATTTTTGATATATGGATAAGGTGCGCACTAAAAAGTAAGTATTTACTAAAAAAGTAAATGACAAACATCAGTACAATAATAGTACTAATAAAATAGGTACAATTACAATACTGACAAAATAAGTACTTAAACATTACTGACAAAATCAGTACAGAAACATTACTGACAAAATCAGTACTGTAACATTACTGACGAAGTCAGTACTGAACTAGTACTGACAAAATCAGTACTGAAACAATACTGACAAAATCAGTACTGAAACAGTACTGTCAAAATCAGTACTGAAACAGTACTGACGAAATCAGTACTGAAACAGTACTGAAAAAAACAGTACTGAATTTATAGAATTAGTTACGGTACAGTTATTGTATAATAATGAACAGTACTGAAATAATAGAAAGTATAACATTACAAATTTTTAGTCTCACCAAACAGTACTGATATGTACGAGGGTAGAAATGTACCAAAAAAACGTGGGTAAATTCTTGGTAGTGTATGGGTTTGTCTCATTGTTGGAGGCTGTATGGTTACCTACCATTGCTCACATCCCCTTCATTTGAACTTTGAATGACAAGTGATGTTGTTCATTGTTATGGGTAAATTAATCATACAACAAATTGAACATCTCCTTATTTCTATAATGAAACATTTATATACATGTACGTACATTTATATATAGGGTCTCACAATTGAAAGTAATTATTATAAATGTACAGTTGTCTCATTGGCAATCATACCACATCTTCTTTTTTATAATTACACCTTTAAATTTTTTCCAAACTTCATTCATGTATTATTATTATTGTACATGTATATAAATGAAACTGTTTTTTAAATTTGATCAAATGTTGAATATATAGATATATATTTAATATGTATACATGTATGATGTACACATGTACATTAATAAAAAAAATAATTACCCTTGTCCTAACATGTCCTCTAAACATAAATACACTATTTATGGACTGGACAGCATTCATCTGATGGTTTCTGTTAAACAGTAAAATTGCCATACTGGAAACCACTCTTGGCGTTTCTTTTTTCTTTTTAAAGCTGCCAGCAACTATCTTAAGGATTTCAAGTGTTAGTAGACAGTTTCTTTCCAACTCTTTATTATTTATGAAAATCGTGAAATGTTGCTTCCCCTGAAAGTTGATTCTTTGTTTTTACACAATGACTGCACCTCTTGTGAAATATTCTTCATGACAGTATTGACAAGTTCTTTTTTTGCATCTTCTATCGTCAACAGATGATTTAGTGCGGTTTTGTGTTGCTTTTGAACAATGGAACGACATGCTAATTTCCCGGGTCCTTTCAAGTCTGTTTTTCTTGAACTGCTCTTAAACTGTAAATGTACCTGAAATTGAAACACAAATATAAACATTGATTCATATACAAAATGTACACTACACTAATCAGAAACATGCGCAATCATAAATCTGTATGCATATGTGAAATCAATGATTCATGGAAGGGACATACATGTACATGTGTGTGTATAAACAAAATGTACATGTACAAAAATTGTTGAAGCTAGCCTGCATAGTGAATTCAATATAAAATGTACACTCATGTTAGTCTGTGTAATTTTTTGCATTCCATGCAATTGCCTCAAATTCATTCTTTCAAAAGGGAAAATATATATATATTATATATAGATTACAGACATACTGTTCATTTTCATTTTTAACAACAGATTTTAACACACGTGTGCATTGTTCAATACTAGTATATATAAACATGGATTAACAAATACAATATTGCATTATTTTATTCAGGAGTCTTACCTTAACTTTAGGACCAGGTGACTGTGTAACTTGTGGTGTTGGTTTCTCATCTTGAGGTTTGCATGTAGATGTAAACTGGAGCCTCCTCCTATTCTTTTTTGGAGTCTTTGTTGATGCTTTTCTTTTTGCTTTTGGTGTACAACCAGGCTTTGATGGAGTGAAAATATTTCGTTGCCTCTTCCTTGCTGTTGAACCTAAACATGCTAAAGCTGGGGTTAGAGATGGAAGTGGTGGTTCTGTATCTACATGTATCTGATCATCGGCATCACATTATTCTCTACTGACCGACAAATTTGTTCTCAAATTGATAAAACTTGTTGATGTGGATGTTTTTAATTTTTCACATAAGTTTCTACATTTGTTTAAACTCACATAAGTGGCTTTCAAACTGTTAAAACACTGACTGCAAACGAAAAAACTTGTGTCATCATATCCGATTGCATTCCTGAGCTTCGCCTCGTCTACTTCGTAACAGAAGGCTAATGTTTTAATGAGATCAACTTCTTTATGTTGTTTTCCTACACTTCTTCTTCGTTCCTCTTTAAGATTTTCTACATTTAAAACATGCGTACAATGTACACAACACGCGTCTGAATGCTCCATTGATCATGTTAGGAAATATTCTTTTCGCTCCGCCTTTTTTTTTGCGCCAAATTTGATTAATTCTATAACCACAATTCATAGCGTTATTCAAACTTCCGGTTGAAGGATTTTATAGGTGAATGCATTCAGGCGTTAATGTAGCGATCGATAGTGAGTCGGAATATAACGACTGGATTAGTCAGGTTAATTCTCTATTGGAACTGTACACGTATACCTAACAACAAAATTATTTTCATTTACCTGTGTTTAAAGTTATTGCAAATGGCTGTTTTTTTGTTCGAGCATATTGTTTTTCTTTAATTGTTTAACTTTTCATACCGATATAACATGTTACTTTTATTATTCTTCCCTTAGTTTATTTATTTTGTATTTACATTGTATCATGGGTCAAATTTATTTGTTCAGTGTATGTTCAATGGTGTTAATATGTCCTTTGATTGAGTTAAGCTATTTCAGTTGATATTTTATAGTGTGTCTTTCTATGTTGTGATGTTACACTATTGTTTCAGAAAAAGGGTGAAGGTTTGGTACCATTTAAACGTTTAAACCCGCTGCATTTGTTTGCACCTGTCCTAAGTCAGGAATCTGATGTTCAGTAGCAGTCGTTTGTTGATGTGGTTCATAAGTGTTTCTCGTTTCTCGTTTTTTATATAGATTAGACCGTTGGTTTTCCCGTTTGAATGGTTTTACACTAGTAATTTTTGGGGCCCTTTATAGCTTACTGTTCGGTGTGAGCCAAAGCTCCGTGTTGAAGACCGTACTGTGACCTATAATTGTTTACTTTTATAAATTTTGACTTGGATTGAGAGTTGTCTCATTGGCACTCATACCACATCTTCTTATATCTATTTATGTCTATTCTATGTTCTTTACAGATTCATTATGTTTAAAAAATAAAAATCTAATGTATATTTTATACACCCAAGTATAGAATGTTTTTGCGTTTAAATAACAAGCTAGTTAAAAGACTGTTGTAAATTGAAAGTATATAATAAACAGAACTTTAAAAGCAGAAAAAAATGAAAGGCCCGCGTCCGTTTTTTTGAGATGTAAGCAATTGAAAATTTGGCGGGGAATTTATCTCTCTAGATTTTTCATACATTGACAACATTTTCCTTTCAAGAACTATAAAAAATAACAAGGATTTTATGATATTTTCAAAAATTGCTGTTTAAATTATATGTTATAAAATTATGAAAAGAAAAGTGGATGGTTCAGGGGCAACATTTGTTATGACACTTCATTGATAAAAGTAGAGGATTCCGAATATCTGACTAGAAGTCAAAACAAGAATAGCGAATATCCTTAACTTGAAAATATTTTATCCAACCGTTGTTTTATAATATTGACAATATAATACGTTGGTGCATGATTTAACAAATATAGTTTTAAGATAAGGTTTAAACCTATCTTATGGAATCCTTGTCTGTCTCTCCTACTGTTTCTAATTGTCCTTCTATGTCCAAGAATGTTGTTATTGATATTCACCAAGTTTAGTAAAGAAACTAATACACAAACATAAAGTAATGTTAATGTTAATATATGCTGATTATTATTAATACGAATTTATATTAAAATGAAATAAGATATTTTTACCATTCATTCTTTGGAGAATATCTCAAATTCTGAATTTCAAAATTGATAAAAGATATTGCACTCATTAAAATATTTGCACGCTTTATTTTCCCTTTACATATGACAGGACATAAAGAGGTTCCATAACAATCATAATAAAAGCAATTACTAACCTACCGCCCGGTATGCCATTGGCAGCAACAAAGGTTCTCCATAGCTGTCTGTCTTTGGTCATCTTTTCAACTGTTCCTAATGGTTTTCAGTTCTCCTTCTACAGTACTTCTTCATGTTTTGTTGTTGGTCTTCCAAGCTTACGCTTTCCTTTTGGAGTCCAATGTAGTGCTGTTCGAGTGATGGAATTTCTATTTCTTCTAATCACATGTCCAATCCATTTCCAACGCCTTCTGATTAATATTGTGGCCATACTATCTTGATTACAATGTCTTAGTAGGTCTTCATTAGATATTTTTTTTATTAAAATGTACAGTGATTAAATTCTGTGGAAATATTTATGTGTGTATGTTTTAACCATTATTATAATTTATAAATCAGGTTTATGTTTTATAATTTACACTATATGAAAATGTATTTTAAACGCTTTTAAAAAAAATATATAAACAACGACATATTTTCCAGATATCTTATATTAAAGTTTAAGTAAAATACGGGTTTTTGAGAAGGTAAATATAACAATGTGGTTCTATTCAATAATCATCAGTTTTTCTGAAATCAGTTAAACCACATATTAACCGGAACAGCTAGGACAGTAACTATTTTATACCATCTTACGACAAAAAATTGGTTTTGGTTAAATGACAATTATTTATCCAAATCAACTGTGCATCAATATAAAAATAAGGAGATGTGGTATGATTGGCAATGTGACAACTATCCACCAAAGTTCAAATGAAGTGGATGTAAGCAATTATAGGCAACCGTACGGCCTTCAACCGTGAGAAAACCCCATACCGTATAGTGGGCTATAAAAGGCCCCGACATGAAAAATATGAAACAATTCAATTGAGAAAACTAACAGCCTAATTTATAACAAAACAATAAACGAAAAACAAATATGACATGAATCAACGACAACCACTGAACTACAGGCTCCTGACTTTAGACAGGCACATAAAGAATGTGGCGGGATTAAACATGTTTGTGAGCGCTCAACCCTCCCCCTAACCTGGGACAGTGGTGTAATAGCACAACATAAGAACAAAATATAAAAATCAGTTGAAAAACGCTTAACTCATCAGATCGATACAAAGCAGAAAAACATCAAAAACATAGACCGGACGTGGCATGGTACTTATCCATCCCTCATCCCTAACAACAGAAAAAAGACACCAAGTACTGTAACAGATCTGAGAGTACTCGCAGTTACTGACAGCTAGTTCAAAGCCAATAAGAACTAATAAAATAAATCATGTATCGAAGACTAAAATATTAATCAGTACACATCCAACATCCAATGGATAAAGACGCGGTCATTAACATTCAGAGAAGAACATGACATTGTGCAATGCCAAAATATAGGTTTTAACAGATTGTAGTACCGTGAAAGTACATACAAAGCCAAACTTGCAAACCAAAGCTTTGTACCTGTGGAAGAATTTAGTAGAGGTTTCAAGTAATTTGTGGTAACGAAATCCCAAACTTAATAATTTACTAGTAACACATAGATAACGCTCATTGAAATCCAAAACGTCACTACAGACACGTGCATAGCTAACGAGTTGGAATATATGAACACCGTAAGACGGTGACAAAGGAACATCACCGTCCAAAAAAGGAAAATTAAGAATAGGGAAAGACAAATCATCCCTTTTGTCGTAAATTTTGTGTAGAGTTTCTGGTGAAACACTGAAATATCTAAATTTAGGAAAGGACAGTTATTGCTTTTAACATTTGATTTAGGAACAAGTCTGCTATTAAAGGGACACAATTGGTTTCCATAGGAATACCTACAACCTGTCGATAAACTTTATTGCCGAAACGTACATAAATGTTGTCATGGAGAACATTTAAGGCTTTAATCA